AATCATATCATCGTAATTTAGTGTCTTAATAAGATGCCCTTCAACTCGTTGACCTGTCATGCCATTTCTCTTTTTGTGGATATGTCGAATCAAGTGATAAGATACCGAATGTGTGCAGTCGTATAATTTCCATGTGTTAATTTTGTTGCGAGGGCCTCAAACAACTCCGCTCATATGGACCTTCCTTCTCAACATTGTGTCTTTGTCTTCTTAGTCTTGTTTATTACGCACACATAATACCCTCTCTGCATCCTGCACTCACTTTTAAGGTCACAATGTGGTCCATCCTGTCAGGCTTAACTGTGAATTTCCTAAAATTCGTCTTGAGGTGATAAATGAATGGTAGTTGAATTTTTCCCACACTAATATGCGTAGGCCTCACATTTCCACTGAGTTTCGTATAGCTTTGTTGCCAGACGGTATTCTCATCCAGCCTGGGATAGACTGAAGTATAGACTTCGCCTAGGCCCCATGATCAACTCCAGCAGGACTCGAACACATGTTGTGATAGAGCAGCGTATACGATCTTCTACACCGCAATGTCACTGGTACGCTTGGTTCATAGGCAAGATATGAATTTCAAGGAGGGCTAGACCTTCTCCCTGTCACCGTGACTCAAAGCCAACCGTGGCAAGGTGGCATATGGGTCAACATGTCGAGATTATTCGTTTCTCTATCAGGTTTCGAGTCCCGCTTGGAGTGCTGAGGAGAGCTAGGCAAGGTCGAAACTGCAGTTCACCCTAGCCTGGATTGAAATACATTTTGGGGAGCAGGGCTATGGGAAACTTAATGGAAATGTAGGGCCTACTCATATAAATGTGGAAAATATTCCACTTTCTTCATTAACGTAACGAAATAAGGCGAATACATCTCATGCATATGAGAGAATCACTAGATTGGTTGCTTTCGGCCGCCTAATTCTGTTAATTGCACTTTGTGTGTGTTTCCCAGACTAAATCCAGCACTCATTGGTGTAATTTGTTCTTTCAACGAGATTTGATCACTGAACGGATATAATTAATGGCACCCTGCAAACACGATTGTTGTGCAGAAGAGGTCAAACCAAATATTTACAGGCTATTTATTACTACTAATTTTTTTTTAATTTTTACTTTTTACTATTTATAAACGAGACAACAATTAAACCGAAGACCACTCCTTCCTGACTAATCTTATCCGAGAACTTTTCTTATTTTGCTTAAATGTAATAATATCTGGTGTAATTGTGCGGGTAAGAACAAAAAACTTTGCAGAAAAACAGTCGAAAAGAGTGTCTAAAGATGGACATCTGTTCGACCAATTTCACTTGGTTCTAGTCCCAGAGTATATTTTACATCAGGCGCTATTTTTCTTAGAAATACGTGCCTTTAGAGGCACGTACATTCTCGCCTCGCTGAGCAGAGTGTCTAGCCTCGGATTCTAACGCATTGTCCATACCGGTAATCTCTTTGATTCAATCCGTGTACTATGAGCGAACTTTCAACGTCTATCTTTGGTCGTCTGCCCCCCTAGGGTGGATTTCTAATCAATCTGGCCATATCACCAAATTTCTATGACGGTTGTAATTATCCGTCTTCCTAGTCCGTGATCGCCATGCCCACAAATGTGTAGTTGCTTTTGTGAGCATTCTACACCTACTTCTATAACAGAGGACCTTAGGCAAGTTGCGTCTGACAATGTCACTCTGATAACGGCCAAGTTGTGAAAACGAGGCGATAACATTTGAATATTTAAGTGTTGCATTCACAGACTGTATTTGTTACTTTTTAAGTTTTTATCATTTTCATTATTTTCGGGACATTAGTGTCGCGATAGTTGGTAATAAAGAGATTAATGGGTCGATATCATCACAATACAACTGTGGATTTCTGTTGCTTCGCAGCCGCTTGCCTCTGGTATTATGTCCAGGTTTATGCAATCCACGATACGTTCTACCTGGTTTCGGGTGAAACGAAATGAGCTAACGTTCCTCACGCCACTTGACAGATGGAGCTATAAGAAAATACTAATTCTATTTGATGAGCCATATATACATATAAATGAGAGTATAGACTTATTTAGTTATTTATTTTTATGTATGTAGAATGATGATGTTCTTCATATGACGGAGAAAAGCTCAAACCCCTTTCACGCGAAATGTGGGAGGATATATTCGGACTGCGTCAACCTAAACGTTGCATTAAAGCCAAATGGCTGTAGATAAACGAATCTCTTCTGCTCGCACTTACATATGAATTGAAGGCCCCTACAATGATGGTACCGTTAGAATTTCATTGAAACCCGGTTTTTATATTATTTATTTTAGAAAAAACCTTCAGAATTTGTATTTTCGTGACACTATGGTGTGGCTTCTGTGTTGGCCAGTCTCTTATCGCTCAATTGATCTGGTCGTGGCATTATGGAAGCCTCGAGGATGATACGCTTTAATGGGTCTTTTGCCGGAATTGTCATGATTTGCTACCTTTCCAGATGATGCCGTCCCGGGTGTGCGTTCCTCCAAGTCCTTCTGACGTCACGACTAAATTGCGCAAAGGAGATAAGGCCAATTTTTCAAGTCCAAGATGGTTTGCTTGCAGCTTCCTTTAGCTGTATGGTGTTGGCTTGACTTTGGTCGGAGCGGCAATAAGACATTGTGGAACCCACCTAATTCTATATCCCCTGTCATAGTATTTCTGCTAATTTCCACATCGGACCGATGACTTTGTACATTCCCAGGCATTTTGCCGGAATGTTAGTCAGCATCGTCACTGAGAAGTGCCATCCTGAGCACAGAGCCACAACTTATCGTGCCGAGGATGGCACCTCTGACGATGCCGGCAAGACGTCTGAGAATGTACCAAATCATCGGCCCGATGCTGGAAATCCTCAGGTGACAGAGGATGCTGGACAAGGTCTCCTCGTTGCTTTTGATCAAGTTGCAAAGACGAGGTGAAACCATTATTTAAAAAACGACTTGCCCATTCAACTTATACTTTACGTAGACATTTGGATAAAGATTTATTTTTACGGCGGTTTTCCATTAAACTACACACGCCTCTCTAGCCCGACACTCGAATCCCGCCATTCGTGACACCGGCCTCGGAGACAGTTTGGGGGCGAGCGGGCCGGTATACACGAGCTCGAATTCAGGCCGAATCCCCGTCTCCCGCAACTCGGACCGACCCGGACGTACAAAAGCCGTTGTTGTCAGCCTTTCGCTCATCGCTTGTCTGGCCCTGTTGTTGGTGATTGGCATCTCTTTCTGTCTGGTCTATCGACGCCTGCAGCGGCATTCTCGTGGAGCCTTCAGGGGCGTCGAGAAGCCTCTGTGCACCAGCGCCATGCTCGCCAATCCGCATCCCTCCGTCTCCACAGACGCCGTCTCGGCTTCGGCTGGCCAGACTGCGGCCGGCTTTTCCGGTTGCCCGAAGCAGTCGGTTGGCCTT